TCTTTCCCTCCATTCTACTCTAATACCTTCAACTATGTTGACCACTTTCAAGCAATGTTGTAAGAGAGGCAGAAAAATCCGAGTTAATTGCATTTCATTAAGTTTTAGGAAACTCAGAATCTGGTTTGGGAAGATAAAGAAATTATTACGCGTTTACGGAGTTAGAACTGGCAGAAATTACCTGTTCGGCAGCAAATGACTTGTCAAGCAGGACAGTACAGCGCTGTTCTTTTTGTCTTGTCCCCTCCTTGATGTCATAGGTAGGGCCTGAAATTATTACAGTAGATATTTGCATTTGCACACACATCTATAGGACTTAAGGGTTCAGTACAGTAGTTTTTCAAATTAAACTTCTTTAAAAACAAAGCTGTTTATTCAGCTGAAAAGAATACTTTTTCCCCCAATAGTCATTACTGATAAATTGGAAAAAGAGCATTGAACATTTTATATCTCTATCCTGTCCTAGACAATGTCGAGGTAAAAATAGTGTGGTTTAAGTCTCCTGTGTATTATTTTTTCTTTCTGTAGAACAGGCCTTGGTAACTCAACCTTAATAGTAGGTATGCAGCATTCCTGAAAATATGCGAGCAGATACTTTCCAAGCAACTTACAAACAAGCGAGTTAAATAGCATGCAGCAGTTTAACTAAAAGATTACAATGTGATTAAATCTTAATTCAAGGATTATTTTACTGTTGTGTCTTAACCACAGCCAGCAACAAAGCATCACGCAGCTGCTTGCTCCCTCTTCCCCCCCACAATGGGACAGCAAGGAGAATCAGGGGAAAAAAAAAAAAGTAAAACCTGTGGCTTGAGATAAGAACAGTTTAATAACTAAACTAAAATATAATGCTAACAATAATAATAATAAAGTATAATAATAATAGTGATGAAAAGGAATATAATAAAAGAATAAAACCCAAGAAAAGACAAGTGATGCACAATGCAGTGCTCACCACCTGCTGACCAATGCGCCGGGCAGTGATCACCAAGCGGTGATCAGCCCTTCCTGGCCAGCTCCCCCCAGGGGGCATGACCTTTTATAGTATGGAATATCCCTTTGGCTAGTTTGAGTCAGCTGTTCTGGCTGTGCTCCCTCCCAGCTTCTTGCACACCTCCTCACTGGCAGAGCATGGAAAACTGAAAAATCCTTGACTTAGGGTAAGTACTACTTAGGAACAGCTAAAACATCAGTGTGTTACCAACATTATTCTCCAAAACACAGTGTACCAGCTGGTAAGCAGAAAATTAGCTCTATCCCAGCCGAAACCAGGACATTTACATAAACTGCAGTGGTAATATCTTATAGACAGTATCTTATACTGAAAGCTTTGTTTCTTTTTCTAAACACGTTAAGAAAAGCCTGTTTTACCCACACTTATCTACCATCTTTAAGACGTTTTTATTAATGCTCCTTTAATGTGGGGTTATTTGAGTCTACCGACTTACTCATGGCAGAACTCTTCTGTTGTAATCTGGATAGTAACTGTTTATTTGGTGGTAATAGTAGAAAATTAAGAGAATAGTTTGTATGTATTCAGAATAAAAGGTCATGTTACTGCTCTGTCTGTCCAGGAGTGCTCCTCACCTGTCAAGCACTATTATTTGTCCAGCCATGACAAAGCTTTGCATGCAACAAATACATATATTTGAATGCAGATAAAATGAAGATAAACCACATAAAGATACAACAATAACAGTGTCTTGAAACATTAAAGATGTGTAACTTTTACAATTTTTTCAAGTGATTATTACTTTTTTCTTGCCCATTCCTTCCCTTTATTCAGAATAACTTTGCATCTGAAGTTCTTAGAATACATGTGTCACTACAGAAGATGTACTCTGCTTGAAGTTAAGTAGGGTTTCTGTTTTACTGTGGGTATAGCTGTTATTAAAATACCCCAGTGGCTGACTACGTCCTTTTAAGTTTATTATTTTTCTGATTAAACCTTTGGAGTGTAGAATCATGAAACAGTTGAGGTTGGAAGAGACCTCTGAAGGTCATGTAGTCCAACACCTCTTCTCAAAGCAGATAAACTGGAGCAGGTTGCTCAGGACTCTGTCCAGTTGGGTTATAAATAACTCCGAGGATGGAAACTCTACAGGCACTCTGGGCAACCTGTAGAACATTTCAATTACCTTTTTTATATTTTGACTTGAATTGATGTGGGATGAAGATACTTACACAGGTTAGTGGCTCCTTCTGTTGAAAATGTGCAGAAGGAATCATCCAATATAACTTTTTAAAAAATTTTTTTTTGCAGAAAGGGATTTGGGAAAGCCAAAATATGATATGGATAGAACAGATCCGTTAGAGAACAATTATACTCCAGTTTCTTCTGTGACAAATATTTCATCTGGCCACTACCCTGTCCCTACATTGAGCAGCACTATTACTGTTATTGCGCCTGCTCATCATGGAAATAACACTACTGAAAGCTGGTCGGAGTTCCATGAAGAGCAGCTGGACCACAACTCATATGGAAGACCTCCTCTGCCAAAAAAACGCTGTAGAGATTATGATGGTAAGTCTGGGTTTTTTTTAATTGCTTCTTGGAGCTATGATTGACCCCTTTCTGAAAACATTGAGGTAGTTTTCTTTTCTTTTCTTGATCTTCTCTAATACTGTAGTTTTTTAATTACACAATTCTTGAATGGAAATTTTATCTCACTTTTTATTAACTTAGCTTTTAGACAGCTTGCTTTATTAGTGTTTCTGTAGGTTTTTTTTAGTTACTAGAATTATTTTGTGTAGATGACAAATATATTTATATAAAAAGTTATAAAAAAATACAATTTTATCCAGATTTTCTGTCTTCTATCATGTTCAAGCCAAATACTGTATTTGATAGTTTTGACCATGATTAGCACCTTACTGACCTCGTCATTTTTTATTCTATCCTGTCTAAGAGATACTTTTTAACTAGAAAGATCTAGAGCTGCAGCTTCCCAAGTTCTTGTTAACCCATTTTTTCTGTGTGTTTCTTAAAATTGGTTGGGTTTTTGTGCTAGTCTGTGTCTTAAGCTATCATTGTCTTGTGCAAAAATCCACACAAGATGCTGCTGCAGTTGTCAGTGTCTTGGCTAAATTCAGCCAGTCAACCTGTTAGCTCAGAAGAGTTTAAATTTCCCCCTGAAAGTTTTTTCTGAGGGTTTTTTTTTGTTGTATCCCACAATGGTGAGTTTAAGATCTAGGCCAGTTTAGATTCAGAACTCTGATTAGAATTTTTAAGTAAAGAAAATGGGAGGCTGACCTCTCAAGTGCTGGCAGAGTTGTACTTGTGAAGAATAGCTTTGCCAGTATACATCACAGCAATACTGTGGAGCAAGTAGATTTGTTTTGAAGTTTTCTTCTAATGCAAGCTGAGCTGCAGAATGTTGTGTCGTGGTCTCCCAGCTCTACAGGTTTTTTAGAAAGGAACAAAATGTGCAGGCTAGTATACCTTTGAAATATAGTGGTTTTGAAATATTTGAAATATACTTTTGGAAACATCTCCAGGCATGACACTGGGACTTTGTACCTTTAACAGTCTTCTGTAGCAGCTTATTATTTCCAATTTCTGAGTATGAAGCAAATGCTGATGTGTTGGAAAACTGTTACAGTAGTCCTCAAATTTTTACTGTGGTTTTTTTTTTCCTACGTTTCTGACTGTTACTAAAAATCTCTCAGTAGATGTCACTTCTGTTTGCTTTTCTCATGGCTGTTTGTGTCTTTTAAATTTATAAGCTCATCTCTATCTTCAGTGGGCAGCTGGTTCTAACATACTCCTCTTCCTGTCTGTACTTTCACATTTGCTGCTTGACCCTCTGCAGAACTTCTATTTTTCCTTAACTTTTCAATTTATGTGTTCTATAACTATTTCTGAAGATGAGGTAATACAAACTGCTTTTCAGCATGATGTTTTGAAGAAACAGGCACTCAGCTTTCTTCCTATTTTACCAGAAGATGTTTTGAACTTTCCCCCTGTATTGCATTGAATTGTAT